GAGGGGTGGAGTGGCCGCATGCTGGGCTGGGCCTGGGGCGCCCACTGGGCGGCTCTCAACGCATGCACCCCCCACCACACACCACTTCACACCATTACACACCACTTCACACCATTACACACCACCACCATTACACACCACCCGCTCACCGCGCACCACGCGCCTCGCCGTGAACTCTGCGTACAGCTGGGCCGCCTGCACCGGGATCATGACCACGCCGATGGAGATGGTGGCGATGACCACCGCCTTGCCCAGCAGGCTGTGGGGCACCACGTCGCCAAAACCCACGGTCGTCAGCGTGGTCACCACCTGCGCAGCCACAGGGCCGAGGCGGAGGGGGTGGGGGTGGGGGTGGGGGCTTGCTGTGCAAGGGCTAGCGGGCAGCGGGCATGAGGGGCGGAGGCGGGGGCGGGGACGAGGCAGTGTGCGAGGAACAGGCCGCCCGCGCCGTCGCTGGGCAAGTGAAGCAGCGTCTCTGGGCAACGCCTGAGACACCCACCCGGCCACCCACCCACACCCAGCCGGCCAGCCCGGCCCAGCCCAACCCTGCCCACACATGCCACCCACCATGTAGAGCGCCTGGTGGAAGGGCATCTTCTCCACGATCTGGATGATGGAGGAGGTGGTGAAGAGCATGATGAGCACGGAGTTGAGGAGCTGGAAGAGGCGGAAGTTGGTGCCGGCAGATAGGAAGCCGCCCTTGCGCGTGCTGCAGCACAGGCAGGGGGGGGGGGAGGGCAGGGGGGAGGGAGCAGGGAGCAGGGGGAGGGCAGGGCGTTTGTGGAGGGACGCATACGGACGCAGCAGGCTGGAGGGGCAGGGGCGGCCTCGGCAGGCCTTGGGGCGGGCGCGGGGATGGCATGGCGCACACACGCCGCCGGCCTGGGCGCCTGTGTGGCCCATGCCACCGCCCCCACGGGCGCTCACCTGAGGTGGAGGGAGCGCAGCTCTGAGGACAGCAGGCCCACGCGCAGCACGCGCATGGAGCGCAGGATCTTGGTCCACCGCAGGTCGATGCCCGCCAGCAGGCTGCGGAGTGGCAGCAGAGGGCGCGTGGGTGGACGGGGGTGTGGTGTGGCGTGCAGGTGTACGGTGGCAGGTGCGTGGTGTGCAGGTGTGTGGTGTGGCGTGGTGAGAGGCGTGTGGAGGCCGGGGCGGGCGGGCATGCAGGGGACAGGCGCTGCACAGGAGCCCCGACGCCAGCACAGCCCCGCCCAGCCCAGCCCCGCCCAGGCCAGGCCAGCCCCGGCCAGCCCCGGCCAGCCCAGCCCAGGCCAGCCCAGCCCCGGCCAGTCCCGGCCAAGCCCACCTGACCGAGGTGCCGGTGGCCCTAAGGGCCGCGTCCACCAGCGGCGGCGCAAAGGACAGCAGGTCGCACACGTTCCAGAAGGAGGCCAGCATGCGAAGCTTGGAGTCAGCGGTCTGCGGGGTGAGGGGCGGGGCAGGAGGGGCAGGAAGGGGTGGGGGTGGGGACGCGGCGGGGGCCGCGGGGAGGGAAAGAAGCCAGGCGGACCGGCGGCAAGCGAGCACGCCGGGCCGCTGGGAAGGCAGGTGCCACGCAGCGCCTGCTGCTCGTGCCTCGCCGCAGCCTGTTTGCCCCCGCATCGCGCCTGCCACTGCAACCAGGTCCCCCCACTGCCTCCTCC